CTTTTCATTTCGTCGAGAACCCGAAATTAAACAACCTCGTTGAGGAAGGTCAGATCTAGTTATTTGATTTGTTTTTCGAGGTATTTTTAGGACCACCGTCTGTTAATATTTTTGTACCCTATAACATAGAGATAAGCATCGAGATAAGCATCGAGATAAGCATCGAGATAAGTATTGAGATAAGTATTGAGATAAACAATTACATAAATAAAAAAATTATTTTAACAATACCTGTTTATTTCCGCCAAGAAATTTAATTAATTCATCACGATTCGTTAATGCAAGATATTGTAAATAAAACTCAAGGTGAAAACGTCTGTATTCGATAAAATCAAGCTTGAATCTTCCTAGATAAAGAAATTTCATGTGAAAATCTTATTAAGCTATTGTTAAATAATAAATAAATATATATATGTATGTATGTATGTATGTATGTATGTATGTTTATGTAATTTATACCATATCGCTTCTTTGGGGTAAGCGGTGGGATAGCGGACTTTCCATATTTGTGCACAAGCTTTTTATGTAGCTTATAAAAGTCGGTATATCTTCTGTTAATGAACAATTTTCCGACTTGACCATGCATCCAATACTTTTTGGTTTAATGATGTAATTGTATCATTTTTTTTTTTAGAACAATAATTTAATTAATATGATAACGGAAGAATTATGACATAATGATTAAAATACTCACACGACATACTATTTGATAAGAGACATATCTATCAAAACCAAGTAATGAATCAACTAGGGTCCAGCCAGGAATAGAGACCTAAGGGAAAATTTAATGAATAAAAAAAATATATATTAAACATAAGAAAAAGAATTATATTAAAGAAAGTACCTTGCATTTAAAGTCGAGTAATAAAGGATCTGTAAGTAGAAAGAATAGCGACTTAAAAAAAATAATCCTTTAATTATGTAAAAATAGAAAAATATTTCGAATAACGAACGAAATAAACATACTATGATGAATACGCTTTCTATCATCAAAGACATAGCTGCCGCTACCGAAAGAGGAGTTTTGTTTTTTGCACACAGAAGACATAATATAAAACTTTAAAATTTAAAGTAAGATAGTATGAGTCAGAGATATCTTGATAATATATATAAATTTATATAACTAGATTATTCTTATTGAAATTAAAGAAAGGCAGAATGATGCCAAGAAAAGATTTCGTGCAAAAAGAAAAAAAAAAGAAAGTACAAGACGAGAAGTATGTAAATCTTGTATTTTATATTTATCGGGATGTGCCACTTAGTATTAGATGCAAACCACACGCTTTTACCGTGTAACATAAATACGTATTACACTTTATACCGGTGTTTGTCCCTGTTAAGAGTTTTTTTCAAAATATATTCACCAGATATTTTCAAAAAAATATATGTTTACGTGAAAGAAATGTTTCTGCTGCGTACGTAATATGTACGCATATGGCTTTATTTATCCTGATTGCTCTTGATTATTTCTGTACTGATTTATCACTAATCTTGATCAGTGACGAAGGTCCTTGTTTCTCAACCGGTTTATTTTCACCTAGTTCAGAATAAGTTGAGTGATCACACAATGACCGATCGTCCTTTGGAAACATATGCCTGTATCTCGAAGTTTTTTGTTAATTAATAAAATATATAAAATATAGAATTGCGTAATTGCGTAATTTCGCCAACTTACTTCTTGATCGTGATGCATATATTGTATCTACAATCACAGATAATGTGGTTTTTTTATTGTTCTTCCGTAACGAGTTTAATTGTAATAATTAAAATAGTTAAATAATAATGTAAATTATACCACATAAATATTGCATATGTCATAAGGTTTGTCATGCGACATATGACTACATTGTTATGCATGATCTACATCGATCTTCTGAAGGAAAAAGAATTGTTAATTCTGTGTAGCTCTCCGATTGGTTATTTATTGTTATTTATTGACGTACTGTATCGGTTACATTGTTCAATTAAAAATTTTTACAGTATCTTTAATAAATCTTAATTAACAGTAATGAACTTTAACGAGAAAATTTTTAATTGCAAAATTATATAATATTATTTATTAAATATAAATTTTTTTTAAAAAAAAGTCGATTTCATATTTTATAAGCCACATGTATATTAATTTTAAAACAATTTAAACCAATTAATTATTTATCCCGTTTTTGACATCTGATAATCATACAATCTAAGTAAATTCCTTTCAAGCATTGCAATTGTAACTTTACCAATTGACGGAACATAAATGCCGGCTTTTTCTTTAACATTATCTTCAAAATTTTTGCATGTTGAAAAGTTTATTGCAATTGCTCCATCTCGTAATAAAGACGTTGGAAGTTTATACGTTGGTGATGGAACCCCCGTTATTACAACATCTGATATTGGAACTACATCTTCAAGTTTAAGTTTCGTGTCGACAACCTTTATTTTAAATAATATTTAATTGCGAATGTAAATACTGTATATATATAATAGATAAATAAATAAATGTACCGTTTAGCACTGCATATAGTACCCAGGTCTTATTTTAAAACCTTCGTTTTTAAAATTGAACCGCTTTATTCAACCCATTGTTTTTAAAATTGATTAGTACCCGGGTACTATATTAAGGATATTCATATGAAAAAGTAATTAATTTGGTTATACTTCCGGATCTTAATCAAGAAACGGGCTGGTAGGATGGTGAGTAATACCCGGGTCCTCATCACGGAGGATAAGATTTTGTGGGGATACTTTGTGCAGTGTTAAACGGTATATACCAGATGTTCAAAAGTCACTATACACGCCCCCTTTTTTTAAGTGATCTTCTAAATCGAGATCAGATTATTATTTTACGCAAATATGTATAATGATCTCTATGTATGCCACTTAAAAAAAAAAAGGGACGTGTATAATGATTTTGAAACACCCGGTTAATACATATATGTATATAGTATGAAAAAAAAAAAAGAGAATTTGGAATAAATAAATATTGCTAAAAATAGATTATTTACCTCATGCTTTTTAAGTCTTAGCCCAGTACCACGATTAAATTCTTGAATACCATTAATATCAACAGAATAAACTTTTCCACCATCATTTGCCAGTAATGCAGCAAGAGGGCGCCCAACAATTTCACTTCTATTTATTATGGTGATCACTCTACCATGCAAACGATTTCCATATGAGATAATTGGATTGTATACTTTAACGTATTCTAATACCTATATTATCATTAAGATTATTATTATTATTAACAAGATTACTAATAAATGGTTAAAAAAAATATTGTCATTTAAATTGTCATTTAATCTAATACCTTGACTATAGCTAAAGGTGTGCAAGGGATAATACATTTTTTGGTTTGCTCCTTGTCAAGAAATCGAATGTTGTGGTACATATTATATATATACTTGTGACATAACCCTTCAACATCTTTAGATGAATCAACAACGTTCTGAAGATATTGATCCTATAAATGAAATAATACAATTTTAAAAATTTTTAGACATTTTTATATTGAATTAAAGAAAAAAAAAAGGCCATACTTGACGATCTCCAAAAACTGGATAATAAACCATTATTCCATTTATACTTTCTTCTTCATTAGCTTTCACGATTTCGTCTTCCAAGTCCTCTCTATTACATTTCTTTAATTCAAATACCACTCCTGTTTCAGCACAAGTCTTTGCTGTAGATTCCGCATACTTGAGAGCTGCCGGATCTTGATTAGCAAGAAATCCAACAAGTTTTGGATGGATTCCACGAGCATTTATTGTGTTTTTTAGTTCTTCTCTAAAAGGTTTTAACACCAAACGTTGAAGTAAACAAGAAGGAAAAGATCGTTTCATCCACCTGCATCATTTTTTTTTTTTGCTCAATGCTTGCCTTTAACTTCATGAAAAAGGTGTTGGCATTGCCGCTACGGGATTAATACTAACCCGAGGAAAAGTGAAATTTTAAAGTAAATTTGCTTACCTATAGCTGGCAGAAATTTCACTGGCAAACACTGTTCTACAAGACATTTTTCTTGCTCAATATCTTATTAGCAGAATCTCGTTGGTTTTTAAATTATTGATTTGGCAGCATACAAAATAATCAAACTTTCTACAAATAAAAATTTCTCGTTTATATCATCGTTGATAATCTTATTTCAGTATTTAAATTTATCTAATCTATAAATCGTCCAATCACATTTGGCATAATAAATTAAGAATTAATTTAAAAAAAAACTTGTGCAAAAATTTGAGTTTCTACCTGTACAATATGTTTCACAATTTATTGAAATCGAATGCTATTTTCCTCGCTTCGAAGCATGGTCATCATCGATTTTTAAATGTTTTTACTGTACGATATTTTATATTGAGACAAATGTTTTTAAAAATTCAATGAATTTTTTAAACGTACACTATTATTTCATTTCAGCGAGGATATGTTTCCGCTCAAGGCCAAAAAGAAGTAAATTATTCTACAAAAAAAAAATGAAATCATTGATTGTATATGATATGTTAATTCATTTCAAATTTTTTCATATGAAATAGTATTTGAATAAACACCTGAAGGATATTGACCCCGAAGTTTATGATATTATAGAACAGGAGAAAAGGCGGCAACGAGAAAGCATTGTTCTTATTCCTTCAGAGGTAATTCATAAATTTTGGTTTTTTTTAAAGTCAAGTTTTTTTTTACTATGATATTAAACGATT